GGCCCAATATCAGTACCCTGGGCCTTTTGGTTATTGAGAAGAAGTTGTTTGAAGATTTTAACATATTTGACCCCTGTGACCTTGAAAGTGGGTCAAGGTCATTTATTCGAACAAACTTGGTAGCCCTTGATCCCAGCATGCTACTGGCCAAATATCATCTTCCTAGGCCTTTTGGTTATTGAGAAGAAGTTGTTTAAAGCAAAAAGTTGACGCCGAACGGACGACGGACGACGGACCATAACATAAGCTCAATTGCCCTTCAGGCAGGTGAGCTAATAAATGATCTTGGAAGTTGTGCAACGGGGTTAAATTTTACGTGATTTTGACTCAAAATTAGAAAATTTACAGATTTTAATTAGACATGTGAATGAAATAAATGTTTGCGGTGTCTTAACACAGAGATGAGACACCTGGTATATAAAGTATCAAATAGTCAAATGAATAGGATTTGTGACAGCATATTGAGCAACAACATGCAAGTGTATTTTGTTAAATAAATCTTCAACATGCTCTAAGATGTGTGTTATAACCTATTTTCATACTTTCTTTCCCCTTATGGACAGGAATCATTACAACCACATGTGCACATTACAGTTTTATTGTTGTGGCTCATATTTTTTACAGTTGTCGGATTATTCTCCAGATCAAATTTTCGCAATCAGGTTATTGATCCACGAAATTACACGAAAATGTCATCCTCACGGAAATATCCTGTCATACAGTATAATACCTTGGAAGTTGTGTAACCCCACCATCAGTGGACAACATATACGACCTCAGCTGTTGCAAAGTCATAAAATCCCAATAAACCAATCCAGCACTAAATATTGATTAAAATACTTTGGTTTGTTTGTGTTTTATGTCCTATTAACAGCTATAGTCATTTAAAGACATGCCAGGTTTTTGTGGTGGAGAAAAGCCGGAGTTCCTGGAGAAAAACCACCAACCTACGGTAAGTACCTGTCGACTGCCCCACGTAGGCCTCAAACCCGCGACCCAGTGGTGGAGGGCTAGACTGGAAACAGAATGTCAGACCCCTTACCCACTAAGCACTTGGCCACAGAGGCCCATTAAAACACTAATTTAGCCAGGGACTCCGAAACCTGAGAGTAAAAACGTACAGTGGGATCAATATAAAAAAGTAACATTTTAGTTCACTTTTTCCATAATTTAATACAAAAAATATCCAAAGCCCGGACTTAATTATAAACAAAAACACTTGATAAGCTTAATACATTATTTACATTCACAAATGATACTATTAGTTTTGCTATTGTGGTCCGACTACTATACACATCATAAATTACATAGTGATGCAGGCAAGCTTCTCTCCAAGTAATTAATAATATAATAAACCATTGTATTTATGAGCTATTTATATTACCCACTTCATGAATTGCACAATAATCTGTATAGATATTATCACTAATCAGCACTTAAATATACAAACTGCCCAATCTCAGGTCAGCAGTCTAGGCCATGCTGTTATTACTCTACAAATGCGATGTTGGAAAATGTTAACTCCCATCATTACATGTGTAGTGGTTAAATCAGACGTTAATTTGATTGCCTGTATTCTAAAAAGTGTGAGTTATTTTTATTTATTTTATCATGTATTGCAATATTGAAAAGGTTTGGGTCCAATCTTTGTATTTGTTTGTTTATTTAAGGGGGGATCTGAATCTTGTATATTTTATCTAATTGGATATTGATGGAAATACATGTATATAGATGTGTCTGGTGATTAATTCATAATGTTTTGCTCCGTCATTGCATTTCTCTTATTTGTATTCTTTGTCTTTCTGATCAATTTTATTTATATTATTTTCTAAATTTGGAAAAATGAGTGTAGATTTCAACTCATAAGACTGCCCCAAGATCGGGCACCGACAAATTCATTTCTACTCTTCAGAGTTTGAACGACAACACTGATCAATGGAAGACACAATCACAGCAGTTCTAAAAATAAAAACGTTCTTCGAAACTTCCTGGTACAAAAGTTCTACAGTAAACTTCCCTGATATCTAAAAAAAACTCATTTAACATTCATTTTTTTTTGTATCTGTAGCCAACATGATTGACTTCCTCAGCATAACAACACAAAAAATAGAAATCATTGTACAGCAGTTCAATATATAAGTTAGATAATCAGTGATCTATGGTACATGAAGGGTGGTAATTAGGTATTACTAGTTATCTAGTTAGCTTTTAAGTTGTCCTCACTTTAATTTCTACAGTGTATACGTTTTTAAAACACATCACAGTCAGCTAATTTCTGTTATACTGCAACACTTTACAAATATGGTGAAGATTCAACAGTTGACAAAAACCAATTCACATAGTATTTCATTATTCAAGACTAAAATAATTTATTATATATATGTGAGTTTTAACTGATATGTGATATAAGCATACAAGTGTAAACCATTGTGAACAACCCTGTGTAAAATTCCTTGCACATTTCATGCCTGTTCTTCTGTTGATGCATGCACAGAATTTGTTGAGAGAGCAAGTCGAGAGATAGTCGGATTTAAACACACTCTCATACATATACATGCGTCATACAATATTGCAGGCATTCAAATGCAAAAATACACTTGGGATAATACAGATACAACCAACACTGCAATACAGGATCGAAAAAATGACATGTAGATCTACAATCTAGACTGCATGACCAGTGACAAGACATCACTTCCAATGTGCTTACAAAACCCAATTCCAACACGAGTAATTACTAAAATGATGGATAGGTCTGAGCATTACCTGTTGAAAGGAAACAAGTTACTGAAGTTATGAAGGAAAATGTCAGGTTTTTGTAATGGGTTGATTTCTGCTTCTGAATGTTACAGATTTTCCATCTACATCTTCATGCACTTGACTGTTTTTCTAGATCAGACCCGGGAGGAAAACGTCGGACAACAACATCTTGATCTTGATAAATAAACAGGTGGGGCTCGAGTCAATAGCATTGCTAACCCCTATACCAGGATCTACAGCAGGAAAGCATGATCAGCCCACAGTATCACACCACATCATCACACAGGTGACATTAACACATTCACCCCTGAAGACACATTTCAACTCTTCCAATTCAAAGGTTGGAATAGTTCATTGTGAAGTGTCAGGGGTGAATGAGTTAACTGTATACAGTACGTAGATTTTACTATTAAAGATCTGACTAATTCTTTATCAAATACCGGAATTATTTTGGCAGGTTACATATTATGACTTAAAATTGTGAACTAGGACCTGCCGCATGTTATGTGTATATAAAATTCATTGTCGTGTTACCTTAGTTGATTGAAGGCTCAAGCTACTGCTGTACAACAGTGAAATAATTGCTGGTACAAAATATATTGCATTCTGTATCACCCCTTTAGCTAATACCTGCAGTTCAATTTCAAACCAAATTCTGTATTCCTTTCAAAGGTACACGATCACTTCTATATGACAAGAACATTGAACAAGAGATAAATCTGGATGATTTCAACTGAAGAAAAACCTGTATCAATATTTTTTTTCTAAATGTTTCCACATATCAAAATCATTTTAATGACGTGCATACTTACAAACTTTACGAAATGCTTACAAATTTTGATCACTTAATATTTTCAGCACAGGCATAATTTCACAGCGACAAGAGCAATGCAAAAACACATTATCATTATGGTATGTACATTACGGTGAAAGCTACAATATACTGCATGTTTTTTTCTCTTTGAAGGGGTTTTCCTTCACGGGGAACACTAATGGGTCCCCTGTGATATTTTGCTGACAGAAGGAGATGAGTTCATTGAGGGTCCGGCTGGCACGCAATCGGTCAAGCTTTAGGTGGTGTTTCAGTTGTTCCACCTGACCACTGAGCTTGACAATTTGGTCGCTCTTGTTTTGGATCACCATGGCGACAAGATGCTACTTGAGGATTCTCGGCGTGTAAACTATGACACCCCAGCCAAACAACACCATGCACTCAGCTAGAATAGGTAAACAAAACAAAACAAGAAACAAAATAAAAATGAAAAAGCTATAGGATAGACACACCAAAGAACAGACATGCAGGGCAGAAAACTTCGACATCAACAATTCACAATACCAGAGAGGAAGAAGTGCATACTATAGCCAAACCATCACAAGGTAAAGACAAAACAATAGCTACAGGAGTGTTTTACATTTCCAAGAGGAAAAATAGGTGTAAAGGAACACAACCAATACTTTTTTTGAATAATCGAAATGTGTATCAGACATTTTTTTTCTATCTAGCATGTATATATAAGTACCCCTTCATTGACTTTACATTATAATTATACATTCTAGATCTGAATGTCTTATTATGTTTACATGTGCTGATCACTATCATCAAGTTAAACATTATCTTAGGAAAGGTACTCAGTGAGGGAATGGGGTTCATTATATGTCAACTACTTCATTTTATTTATTATCGTGTATATAGTATGTAGGTTCTAAAAATATAAGCGAGTCCAACACTGGTTCTCCCAAAAATCACTACAGATATATATATATAATATATATATGCATACTTTAAAACAATGTAGTTCTCCCTATACACATGACTTTTCACAAGTGTAGTAATTAGCAGAGATAATCATTGAGGGGGTCATGGGGCCATGGCCCCTCAAAACTGAAACTGACCCCTCCCTGTTCCAATTTCTTTTGATATTTCATAGAATGGCCCTTCTAAATTTGATATTGACTAAACATTGCTGAAAATTGCCCACTGCTCTCAAATTTCAGGATTTCCCCTGAATTGGGATGTAATTAACTAGGGGACTGGGTAATATATAGTATGATGAACTGAACATGCCTCATGCCAACACAGTAAAGTTATTTACAGCTACTTTACACATACACATATACAACATACAAATGCTTGTTGACAGTGATCGTTGTCTGGTTGCATTGCTCCATTATCGGTTCATGTCTGATTTGTAAAGACAGATGTACAGCTGGAGAGGTTTCATGACTGTGACAACACTTACTTGAATCAGAGGTAAATTCTGGTCCTCTCTAACATGTGGTGATTACACAGACTTCAGCAAAAACTGGCTTTAATTCTGATAAAGTAAAATGGTAAAACATATACTTTAAGTGACATACAAGACATTCTGTTATATAGCGACACAAATCATACAATAAAGGAGCTGGAAGTTGGGAAATATTGAATCACCTCCTGCTTCAGAGTCCCCCTGTACCATCCACATATATATTGCTGCCAAGACCATTTCAGTTTCCTTTCAATTTGGGAACATACACACGGCTGCTTAAATTTCTTTAGCAGATTCTTTTCTTTTGTACCTGTTGAGGTTTAAACAGTCTATTGTAGTTATCAATACCTCTAGATCTTAATCACTTTAAAGCTGATCATGCGGGGCAAGTTTAAAGCTTTCAATTGAGATTAAAAAAATGTTTTCTGGTTTGGAGATGTTCCCCAGTGATGTCTCTTTTCAGGCTGTCGTGTCTAAGGAAGCGCCGACATTTTAGAATGCATTTGCTTGGTAAGGAAAATGGGTTTACCGTCAAACCAGTTATTATTTGTTCAACGTGTACATAGAATACCGTCACAATTTGGAACCGACAGTAAATTTCTCTGATCAGTTGAATAAAATTGATATGGAAGACATCCAAGACATAACTGATCTCTGTAGACATATTTAGTAAAATACGACCAATTGTAATATCCAGTGCACATATCCCCCTCCCTCCACTGAACAAAATCTGCCATGAAAGAAAAATATATGACTAACGCCGATGCCTACCTTTTAAATATCCTATTAGTAATAACATCCTGTGGGATACAATACTAATTCCAATTATTTCTACGAAGATGGTTCAATTATCAAATTTCACACTGTTGACTTGCACACCTGGGACTGTCGCACTTGCACTCGTTTTGCTAATAAAGCGCTTAATTACAATGAAGACCAAGAGTTCATAATAGAGTATTTGTGTGTGTGTGCGGTTCTTTGCACATGTTAAGATAGACTAAAGGTACATTTCTCATTCATTGGAAAATTTTCAGTTATATATCTTTAATTTAATTTTGGATACACAATGTTTCCGAGAATGTGCGAGAGTAACACCATTGTTTCAAACATGTGCACATACTAAAATGTCGCTTCCTTAGAAACGACAGCTGGAAGAGATACATGTAGTCACTGGGGAACATCCTAAAAAAAATAAAACTTTTTAAAATCTCAATAGAAAGCATTTAAACTTACACGGTCAGCTTAAAGTTGTGCAATATTTTGTTCTTTTTTAATTTCAACGCATAATTGTATTATGGTATTTGTTTTGTACGTTTCCTGCTTAGCCTAAATTTGTCTCTGTCTGGTTGATTTGGTGCGTGTTGTGTATACTAAACTCTTGGTCGCATAAAGTAGAGCAGTATATATTCCAGTACGGATGTGACTATTGATTTTATGTATGTTTTTTTTATTTGTTGTGAATGTTGCGTTTTAGGAATTCTAGTGATTTGTGTGCGTTGGGAGTGATGATATTGATGTGAAGCTCTGATATATGTTTCAGTAGGAAGATGACCTATACCGTTATATATATATATATTCACTCGGTGTTGATCAAGACAGGTAGACGCTCTATACAATAAACTACGTTTCTTCGGAAATGTTTTATGACCTTTAAAGGATATGCTATAACAAAATTACGTTTTGGTTAAATGAATATACCCGAGCACAAGCTAGTGTAATTAGCAGTCAGCCGTTCAGGTGTTAGCGTCAACAATTGATCATGTTGATTCGGCCGCACCCTTTCAATAATTTTATCAACATACACATCCAGCAGAGGCCAGACAACCAGCTAATTCCAACAATCAGCTAAACATCAATAATTGTAGCTCATTTATGATTTCATAATTAGGTAGGGCACACAGATTTCTATCCGATTTGCATGACTATTTGTTTTTGAGATTATGGGCACCTGTCGAAATAATGACATCATTCGTTGAATCCTAAGGACATACTTTTTCACGTGTTGTACATAAATAATATATCATAAAATCAATGAAATACGAGGACAGCAAGCCTTACCTACAAAATGTCGGAATTTCCTCAGGTTCGGTTGACACCTACGACGGGAAGAGAAAATGTCGAGTGTTCTCCTCTTGGAAATAACAATATGGCAAAAGCCTCGTTTTGAATGTGAAATCTTAACACATACCAACTATAGTCTATTTCAGAAAACATACTTTTACAATTTCAGAACTGATTTTTTAATTCAGGTTAAGAATACAGATCCTGAGAGCGGAGAACGTATAATAATTGATGTATACAATTATAGAAAATGGTTTAAATAAAAATATCATAAGATTAAAAAGATTTGCATTTTTGTTTAACTTAAATGAGAGTTGCTTCCCTTTAACCACGATTTTTGACAGTTAGTAACGTTACTCATCATATAATTATAGTCTATCATATATGGACGATAGAGAAATTCTATTCGATGATGTAGAGTTCTAAACAGATCTGAGCAGTGGCGAACCCGGGGGTGCTGCCCTAGTTGCCCCCTTTTTTCTGTGTCCAAAAATAATCTACATTTTCCTCTTTTTCATATGGGATTTTCTTCTAATATCTACATGTATGTATGCCTAAGGGTGCAGATTTTCAGATTTTTATTTCTCTCAGACGTACAAAGTTTGTAACAAGAGGTCAATATGTATCATATTCATATATACATTGCGGGTAACAAAGACATAAAGGCTACAAACTAATTACATACATTCAATAGCTTTTCAAGATTTTCTAGAAATTTGCTAACATTTTTAAAAACTTTTACATTGCATATAGTAAATAGTTATATGTTGAATTATTCAACTATATTTTTAACACTGGTCACGTGCCTGAGACTTGGCTCCTGGGAAACATCATCCTGTTTTTAAGAACAATGGTAGTTTGTATGATGCCACTAACTATCGTCCAATTACTTTGGTTAATTGTCTAGCTAAATTGTTTATAGCTGTAATTAATGAACGATTAAATAAATATGCAGATAATGTAGAACTCATCCTCGAAAATCAAGCAGGGTTTCGAAGAAATCACTCCACTGTTGACCATATCTTTTCACTTCATGCATTAATTGATTTATCAAAACATTTAAAAAAAATATATATTGTACCTTTATAGATTTTGAAAAGGCTTTTGATAGCGTTTGGCGAATAGGCCTTTGGAACAAATTTTTGGTTAATAATATAGATGGAAAATGTTTCCGAATTATTACAAATATGTACAATGACATTAAGGCTAGAGTGATGAAAGATGACGTATTCTCGAATATATTCCCATGTAGTTCTGGGTCCGGCAAGGCGACAATCTTTCCCCGTTTTTATTTTCACTTTTTCTTAATGATTTAGAAGATTTTTTGAAATCACGTGACTGTAAAGGTCTGTCTAATATAAACGACCAGCTAGAAGAGGATTTACATGTATATATGAAGCTTTATGTTATGCTATACGCTGATGACACTATACTACTATCAGACACGGCAGAGGATTTGCAAAAGCAAATAGATGTATTTTTCGAACCTATGGCATCTTAAAGTCAATATCAGCAAAAATAAAATCATGGTATTTGGTAGAAAAAGAATTCCTGATGGCCTTAATTTTACATACAACGGTACTGTTATAGGAATAGCTAAGGATTTTAAATATCTTGGGGTTTATATACTAAAACTGGTTTGACACAGTTTGATATTAAACAACTGAATGGTAAAAGTTTAAAAGCAATGTATGGTGCTATTTCCAAATGTAGGGATTATAATTTGTCAATAGATTGTCAACTTGATATATTTGACAAAGCCATCGAACCTATTGTTTTATACGGATGTGAAGTTTGGGGTTTCTGTAACTATAAACTTATCGAACGTTTACATTTAAAATTTTGCAAACACATACTTAATGCTAAAACGTCTACACCTAACTTTATGATATACGGAGAACTTGGAAGGTTTCCGCTAGGTATTAATGTCAAAGTAAGAATGGTCGGATTTTGGGCTAAATTGACAAAAAACAACCAAAAAAATAATAAATTAAGTAATAAACTGTTAGCAATTTTATCAAATTATGAATCTTCATGGCTTAAATATGTGAAAAGTATTTTTGAAGGATGCAGTCTAATACATATATTTAAAAGTCAAGAGTTTCAAAGTATACATGGGCTAAAAAGTACCATATTTTATAAACTAAAAGGAAAATTTATATCAAACTGGAGAAATGAAATGTATACTTCTCCGAAAGGAACCAAGTATGGAATATATAAGTACGAACTTTGTTTAGAAAAGTACTTACTAGAACTCCCTCCGAAACTAGCCAAAGCGTATTGTAAGTTTGGAACATGTAATACTAAGTTACCAATTGAAAGTGGTAGGTGGTTCAATATACCACGTGCAAAAAGATTATGTAGTTTATGTTATTTAAGAGAAATTGGCGACGAATTTCATTATCTGTTTACATGTACACATCAACCAATTCTCAATAGTAGGCGAAAACATATGTCCAGATATTATTATGAAAGACCAAACACATTTAAATATCATACATTATTCAATTATGTAACACAACTTGAATTGACATCATTGGCTAAATTTATTAACAATATTAATGACATAATTAATTTACAATACTAATGTCCATCCTGTTCCACCATGTATTATCGTCACCCATTTGTATATATGTATTCTCTAGACTGTATTGTTTATGAGAATAAAAACAATTGCCATTGGTGAAGGCTCAACGGACTGTCTACCTACTCGCATTGTTATAATGTCACGGTGTGGTGATCACCCTGTCCGTTGAGAGAGGATAAAACCATCTGTTGGAATTAGGTATATATATTAATTGTTATTTCAAAGGTAGAGTCCATTTCATGATAGATAAACCTGTATTTTCACCTGTGGTTTCATGTACACATGATCATCAGGAGTGATTTATTATACCTGTTAAAAAATGTAAATTTCAAAAATGTCAAAGACAATAAAGCATCCACCTTAGCATCACGTTATCAGGTGAATAATAACCAATGTTAGCATAAAAGCCTGGCATGTATATATATATATATCCTTTTTAACAGGTGTTGCCCTTGTACATATGCATGCATACAAATTCACAATAAAAGACAAACAGTCAAATCATAATTCATATTTATGACAAAATAAATCAATATTTAATGGACAAAATGCTTGCTAAACTACATGCACATGAAAGACATGACACAAACATCAACATTTTAACCAAAAACCTACATTTTTACCATTGTTTCAGAGAATTTGTTAACACTCGCTCCGCTCGGCCATCATAAAATATAAATACTCTATGTTATGAAATATAACCTGGAATAATACCGCAAACCCAGAAAACTATTCTATGCCTTAATGTCCGATAAATTCTAGCTTTCAACGCTTGGCAGTGCTTGAACAAGTTTAGTATTACATCTTCAGAAAAAAGATCGCCTCGCTCTGCTCGACAGGGAAATTATAATTGGCACAATCTCAGAAATAATGTGAAGTTCTAAATATTGTTAGGTGCTAGAAAGTAGTATACATGTACAACCGACATGACAATTATAATTTATTAGGGTTTTTTAAGTCTTTTTCTGAGTTTAAAATTTTGAGCAATACCCAAAATTAATTCCTGGGTCCCCCACTGCTGAGACTATGTTTTACTTGTCATGTCAATAGTTTTGTTTTCGGTTAAAACAAACTATGGATGCGTTTAGGTAGTTTTAGATCGATATAGGCCGAGCCTGTTATCTTATCCATAGAAAGTGAGCATTTTAGTTTCGGTCAGGCACGTCTCGACCCCCGTACCACGTGCCGGATACTCTTGAGGTCAGTTTTCTTTTCGGGTTCAGCTGGTTGAAACGGTTAAATTGGATACTGTATTCGGCAGTTTTTAACTACAGATGCATGCAAGATTTTGGTGCATTCACTTGTTACCTCTCGGTTGGATTATGGTAACGCCCTGCTCTGTGGTATATTTGACAAACTAACTAGTCGTCTGCAGAGGGTCCAGAACACTGCAGCACGGCTAGTTACTCGTACTCGAAAGAGAGAGCACATCACACCTGTGCTTTATTCGTCGCACTGGTTACCTGTACGCTACAGGTCGCAGTACAAAATTCTGGTGTACACATACAAGGCACTGAATGGAACAGCTCCTCAGTACCTACATGAGCTTGTTATCACGAACACTGCGGTCGGACTCAGAATCTTTGTTGTGTGTCCCAAAATCTATACTGTGACCTACGGAAACAGATGCTTTGAGAGAGTTTCGGCTACGTTGTGAAATAGCTTACCATCTGCTATTAGAAAGTCAAATACCCTGGCCAAGTCCAAGAGGGACATCACAATTCACCTCTTCATGTCTGCATTTTAGAATCTTTGCAAAGACGTCATGTAAATCCCTCCTTTTATTTGTTCAATTATGTGCACATTGCTTGCTTAAATGTATAAAAGTGATTGTAAGCCTTTGTTTTTTGTTTCCACAATTACAACCATTACTATTATCCATATGTTGAAAAGCGCTTTAGAGTCATTTTACAAATTATATAGAGTGCTATATAAATGTTGCATATTATTATTATTATTAGTATCATACTCGACAGGGTCTATGTGACAATAAACGTTTTCGGTTATCCTATGATTTTACTTTGTTTGGATAAAATGTTTATTGAATAACATGACAGTATTGATCACATACTGTACTGTGCTTTCTAGTGAATAATACCCATGTCATATATTTTTGCGTTTTAAATAACCCATGTAATATGACCTATCAGCCCTGTGATTGGTTGTAAGTTTCAATTGTTTCAATTGTGACGTCACGCCTAGGACAAGTACATGACGTCACAGACTTACCGACTTGAGTCAAAATAGAGGCTTTTTTACATTTCAAGGTTGCATGGAAATTTTTGTTTTACACAAATAAATGTCACAAATCTTGATTATGTGATAAAAAGGATCTTACACTCGTTTTTATTTCATATGAAATGAATGAAACTCGTCACAATTTTCATTTTAGCTTGCTAAATTGAAAAATTCTTAGACTTGTTCCATAAATCTCATATGTAATGGAAACCCATGTAAGATCCTATATATAACTTATCTACTTGAAATTTCAAAACGAAAAAATAAATAAGATTTGCACTGTCTGGTC